TAGAAAGCCTCATCTTTCTCCCGCGGAGCGGCTGGTAGTTTCGAACCACTGACCTTAAGGTTCGCAGCCCGATTCGTAACCACTACGCTACCATCCATAAAAGATTTTAGGGATGTTAAGCTCAGTACAAACCAGTCATTATTTCCAAAGGCTGTTTTCTCACTGTTCAGAAAAGCTATAGTTTTAATTGAGACTAAAGTTCCTAACATTAAACACATGAAGTATCCTAGAATCTTCTCAGATCAAAACAGGATCTTAAATTAAAAAATGTTTCTTACAGACTCATTCTTGAATTGAAAACACTTCTGATAGTTAAATTAGAATCTGAATTCAAATATCAAATTGAACTTATTTTTATTTTAAGAAAGTGATAAATGATCTTGTAGGGAGCGCAGTGTCTCTGTAGAAAAAGCACTGGAAAGGTTAGTGGTTTAAGCCCACCAGCTGCTCCGAGGGAGAAAAATGAAGCTTTCTGCTTCAGCAAAGATTTATACACAATCACAATGAGTCAGAACCAACTCAACAGCACTTAACAAGAAAAGCACCTTGTAAAACCAGAAATAAATCTTTAAAAAGTGAGAGTGACAAATAACTTAAGCTATTTATTTTACTAATCTCAATAGCTCAAGTTGACAGTGTTTGCTAACTGGATTTTGTGAACTCCAATTAGAACTTTAGCACTGTATCTTACTATCATTTCCACATCAAAAATGTGTAGATAGAATTGTAAACTGTGCAGCAAAAATATGTTTTAGCAAGTAGTTTTACAGTAAAACTTTTTAAGTTCAACTTACTAAATGTATTAAGATTTTTTTCAATCCAAAGGAGGTATCACTTTACATAGTAGGAAACAACTCACAAAAAGCCACTGTCCAGGAAGAACAAGGAGGACATCAAGATGTTCTAAGCAATTTCCTGAATGGCAGGAAATGAAAGACTGGAGATGCTGAGTTTTTGATCAGTTCACTTTTTTTTTTTTTTTTCTGAATAGGCTTACTCATTATTAACTGATGAAAGATAACACACATGATATTAAAAATGAAAATCTAATGGTTTTACTGTCATAACCATCGGTTAATGCTCAACTAGGAGAAAAAGCTCATTTGATCCCTTCTGAAAAGAAAATGTGTACTAGTCATTTCTGACTGCATAACTTTTCCCTCATACTACGAGGGCAAGTAAAAAAGTGTTGCTATTAGGGTTCTAGTTTAAATATGCATGGGTTTATTCCAAACAAACATGTTCAGACATGTCTCTGCAACCAGCAGATGGCTGCAGACTAGTTCTCTCAGTAATATACTTGTTTTAATTTCATTGTTGTTGTTAGGTGCCATTGAGTCAGTACCGACTCATAGCAACCCTGTGCACAGCAGAACAAAACACTGCCTGATCCTGGGCCAACCTCACTACTGTTGCCAAGCTTGGGTCCATCAATGCTGCCACTTGGCCAATCCATCTCGTTGGGGGTGTTCCTCTTTTTTTCTGACCCTCCACCTTACCAAACATGATATCCTTTTCTCCAGCAACTAGTCCCTCCTGACAATATGTCCGAAGTATGAGAGACGAAGTTTGGCTATCTTGATTTCCAAGGAGCATTCTGGCTGCACTTCTTCAAAAATGGATCTGTTGGTTCTTTTGGCAGCCCATGGCACTTTCAATATTCTCCTCCAACATCATAACTCGAAAGCATCAATTCTTCTATGGTCTTCCTTATTTACTATCCAGCTTTCACAGGCATATGAGATTATTGAAAATACCATGGCTTGGGTCAGACGCACCTTAGTCCTCAAGCTGACATCTTTGCTCTTCAACACTTTAAAAAGTTCTTGTGCAGCAGATTTGCCTAATGCAAATCTGTTTTCTTGACTGCTGTTTCTGTGAGTGTTGATAGTTGATCCAAGAAGAATGAAGTCTTTGACAACTGCAATCTTTTCTCCGTTGGTAAGAATGCTGTTTATTGGTCCAGTGGTGAGGATTTTTGTAGTTTTTTTACATTGAGATGTAATCCATACCGAAGGCTGTGCTCTTTGATCTTCATCAGTAAATGTTTTAAGTCCTCTTCACTTTCAGCAAGCAAGGTTGTATCATCTGCATATTGCAGGTTGTTAATGAGTCTTCCTCCAATCCTGATGCCACGTTTTTCTTCATAGAACCCAGCTTCTCGGATTATTTGCTCACCATACATGTTGATTAAGTATGGTGAAAGAATACAACCCTGTCGCACACCGTTCTTAATTTTAAACCATTCAGTGTCCCATGTTCTGTTCGAACAACTCTTACCTTAGTTCAGGTACAGATTCCTCATGAGCACAATTAATTCATGTCATTAAGGTGCCTTTAAAAAAAAAAAAAAACAAGTTCTATCTAAACAGTGGCTGCAGAGGGGTTCTGCTAGGTCAGTTAAATTCAGTTCAAAAAGTTACAGCAAATGTTTCTTGTTTTTCTTTTATTCCAAAAGGGGCAATACTGATATATTTTCTCTAAGGACACAGCACAATCCTGGGGGCTTATTAAGAAACTCTGAGAAATTTGGAAACTGCATTTATGAGGAAATGGCTAGGAAAACTGTGCCAACGAATTTTCTTCCATTATGACAATGCACCTGTCCATTCTTCAGGGACAACAAAGGCTATTCTGTGAGAATTTCATTGGGAAAGCTTACCCCATCCAACCTATAGCCCTGATCTTGCTCCTTCAGACTGCTTTGTTCCCGGAACTTCAAGTACATCTCAAATGGATTTGAGTCCCACAAGGATGCCAAAACTGCCATTTAGACGTGGTGTCAAATAAAGAGCGCAGAATTCTTCAGGGAAAGATTACAGAGATGGAAACACCACCTTCAGAAGTGTATAGAAACAACAGTCTCACCCTTTGGTATTTTAATTTAATTTAATGAAGGTTTCTATAAGTTTGTAGCAATACTTTTTTGAGTGACCCTCATATCAGCATCACTTGTGGTGAGCTGCTTTACTAAACCAAATATTTATACCCTTGGACTCCTGGTGGGGAGCTGTAGGATCAGCACTAGACTGAAAGTCACAAGATTGGCAGTTTAAATCCACCAGCTGCTCTTTGGAAACCCTATACAGAGGGTTGCTATGAGTCGGAAAAGACTTGCCAGTACTTGACACCCCTCTCCACAGCAATACTCTGCTCATTTTCAGGCTGATAAAATGTTGTTATACAACGGGTCAGGTTTCTTTCTCATTCTCACAATTCATTCAAATGAGTTTTTGTCATATAAAAATATGAGATAAAATGAGATCCAATACTTGGATTTATTTCCTCTGAAGAGCTAGATTACTTTCATGTGTAATTTAACTGAAAACACTTCTTCAACATCAAATTTATTTTAATGATATATACAGGGGTTAACAAATTACAATTAAAATGGAATCAGTCCTATTAATTCCACATAACTTAAAATCATGCAGCACTGCATGGTAAAAACAAGTTTTGTTCATATACAAAGAGTATTTGAAATTTTTGACAGAAGTATTTTTCAAAGTACTTTATAAAAATTTTAAATGCCTGATTAATCAGTTAATGCATTATTTAGAATTATAATAAACATTATTAGTAACGTTACAAGCCGTCAATTTTAAAATTACACCAGGCACAGGATTGAATATATTCTCATGAAATAAATGCTAGGTTAAGAAAATAGTTTTGAAAAAAGATCTCATATTGAAGCTATGTATTAATTTCATCAAATCAGATTATATAAATCAAGTTTACTCAGTTAAAGAAAATATGCCTATCCTTTCTTATATTCATAAATAAGTAGTTATATGTAGTCTTTACATACAAGTGAAGAAAAGTTCAATGTAAAAAATATGCTGCCAACCCACTTATGGCTGAAATAGCTCTTTATCTAGACATTAAATTGCTTTGATGAAAATGTCCAATTTAAATCACATCCAGCCAGCATAAATACTTAAACTGAGCATTTCTGTAAACAGAGAAAAATAATTCCTTTTATTTATTTATTTATTTTTTGTCACTGGCTAACAACTTAATTCTTAGCTTAGAAAGCTACAGAAAAGCTCAATTTTTACTCAAATTCAAAACCCACTAAGCTTAGAGTAAACAAAGTGAATGTTTCTCAAAGTGCATAATTTCCAACTCATCCACTTGTAATAGTAACCAATTCCAGTTCATCTGCAAGAAAATAAAATGTACTTAGCTATAAAAATACTAAGGAATGTTATTGAAAAGGAAAGGCTATTTGGCAGAAGTAAATACAAAAATAATTAGTTTAAATCTTTGTAAAGCTTTAATGCAAGAACATCACAGTACACTTTCTTTTCATAAACCTTAAAGCATGATCAATACCAAAATCTCAAATTTCCACCTTTCAAGTACTTGAAAATAGTTGCAACAAAGTGTCTCTTCAAAAATTGTAAAGAATGCTCATGCAGGTGTTAACCTGCTGACATCTTGGGACACAGATAATTGTGTTGTGTTGGCATCTTGGGATTCACTGGTATCAAGTCCAGGTAAGGGGTCATTGTGAAATGCAGATGTAGAACAGCTAGTCATGCCAACATTTTCATCTTCTCCTGTGTCTGAATCTGGTGTTGTAACTGCATTGTCCTGAAGCCCCAGGATCTCACACAGTGCTTGTGGTAATTCCTGGATAGGAAAATCAAACACAAAACCAACATTCATTACAGCAGGAAATTACTCATGACCCAGCACTTCCATTTAGGACTACTTTAATTCCAGAACCTCAACATTTGTTCTAGCTGCATAATTATCACCTACTCTCTGGTAGCGTAGTGGTTACAAATCGGGCTGCGAACCTCAAGGTCAGCAATTCGAATCTACCAGCTGTTCCGTGGGAGAAAGACAAGGCTTTCTGCTCCCATAAAGATTTACAGCCTCAGAAACCCTGTACAGGGTCACTATGAGTCAGAACCGACTCCACGGCACTTAACCACAACCACCACTCTTATTAACCTTCCTTCTCCATCCAGCCTAACAGAAATCCTAAAAAAAAACCTCAAAGAATGATTCAAAAATCCACCTTTTTTCTTAAGTGTTTTCCTGATCTCTTCCAAAATAATCTCTCTATAGCCCCGTCCTTCACAAACATATAGTTTTCTAATATTTAGCGTGTTTCTCATTCTGCTTTTAGAATATTTATACCATCTTTCACTAAATAGAGGCTCCTTTAAAGTAAGAAATCTCTTGCTGACATTTCTGCGCAGAGTAGCTATCAAATATGTTTGCAAAACTAAACAAAAATAACAATGTGGATATATGAAGAAATGACACAAACACCAAGTAAGAATTCTTATTAAAAATGCAAAAGCCATTAAGGTATGAAAGTTGCTGTTCTATTAAGCTTGCTGGGCTCAGCTTGATTCCATGTGTCTTTGTATTTAGGACTCCGGTTTAAAAGTAGACACTATGTGGAAAATTTCGCTCTCCTGGTGAACAGCAGAAGAAAAGAACCAAACCACAGAAATGCATAAAAGCTTTTGTTCAGACATGTCTTGTGTATTATTTGCTTACATTGTATTGGCCAAAGCCAATCAAATGGCCATGGGCAAAGTACATGGGGTGGAGAAGTAACGCCACCTATAGAAAAACCGAGCAAGTACAGACAGGGAACAAATAACTATGAACAAATAGTAAAATCTAGAATAGTTTATTTAAAAAATGCAAAAGCCAAAATACATCAAAAGTAGAATGATTTAGTTTGAATTCAGATAATATATGAAATGTGCCTTATTTTAAGTCTTAAATAATTAAGACTGACACAAATGTACTGACATCCACTAAATATTACTACCCATTTTCATTGTTTCTGGTCAGTGTCTATTTTATTTGGCAGTACTACTCATTAATGAAGTCCTGGTATGGCCCTGTAAAGCTGATTTGAACTGCAAGGTCAGCAGTTCAAGCTCACCAGCTACTCCTTGGAAACCCTATACAGGTTTCTCTATGGGTCGGAACCAACCCGACAGCACTTAATAACAACAACTTATTAACAGGAGTTCTGGTGTGGCACTGTGGGTTAATGCACTGGACTCCAAAGTCGGTTCAAACCACAAGGTTGGCGGTTCAAGCCCACTAGCTGCTCCTTGGAAACCCTATACAGGATAGCTACAGGTTGGAATCAACACAAGGGCACTTAACACCAACTTATTAATACAAGTTCCTATTCTCAACAACTTATTAATATGAGTTCCTATTTTGTATGAGTACTGGTATAATGCTGCTGTAAGATATGCACTGGATGGTGAGCAGCAAAATTAGTAGTGGAAACCCACCAGCTGCTCCAGTTGCAACTGATTTGAGGGTACTTAACAACTGTAACATTTTTTATCAACTAATACAATTAATGTTGTTCTGATGTGGCGCTGCAGGTTAATACGCTGAACTGCAAGGTCAGTTTGAAACACAAGGTTGGTACTTCAAACTCACCAGACACTCCCTGAAAACCCTATATTTGGTCGCTATGATTCAGAACCTATTCAACGGCACTTAAAATAACAATTCAGTTAAGTAACATATCTACGCTTCACTAAATGTTAAAGTTTCCTCAGTTACCTTAGAAATATATTCATTACTTTTGTCATTTTCCCTTATTTTTAGATGTGTCCCATCTGTAAAAATCAGCTAACTGTTTTCATGTAAGTGCTGTAAATCTATAATGGCAACCAAAATGCTAGCCAATGTCTTGTCTGTCCTCAAAACATTGGCTAGAATTTCTTAAAACTGCCATTTATTTTACTCAGGGGGGGAAAAAAAAAAACAAAAACGCTTTCTTGATCTCAAATCACCAATAAAATAAAACACACACAATAAAACTCTGCAATTATTTAAAGCATTATATACCTTGCATTTTACCATCTGTAGTGAAATTGCTTCTGCCTTACATAGTACATCTTCTACGTCAATTTTCATGGACAATTCATTGATATGCTAAAATGTAACAAAAAAATAAAATAAAATGACCATCTGAAACCAAACAGACTTATTATATTCTACTATATAGTATTACCAGTTTGTTGCCCTGCAGATAAACCCTTTAAAAAATATATTCACATACTAGAAATAGATAGGAAATTTAATATGTCTTTCATCAGATTATTTCATCTTTTAAGGCTAAAAAATGGCTAATAAAGCTTATGGAACATTAAACAGAGTCGCTGTCCCAAGTATGCTATCTCACAGTTAATAAGCAAAAGACAATTACTTTTTTAAAATAACTAAAGAGTATTTGCTAATTTTCCTTTTCTTCTTAATTACTCAGGTAAAAATAACTGGTCAAGATGTATCTATTGAACTGTCATTCTCAGAGAGTCAGTCCTGTCATGAAATATTATTGATACAAGTTCAAAAAGGCCTCACAGTAATGTTCTATGTACGGTAACATCAAATAGAGAAAAGGGTCAAAATATTAAGATACGAATTAAAGGAATAAGCTACCTTAAGTATTTCATTAAAACCATAATGCTTTTCCATTATTTGCTGCTTTTCTGATTCCAAAATTGCACAACAGAGAAGAAGGTGGAAATTCTTACATGGTAGTTCAGTCCACATTACCTATAAAAATTAAGAAATATTTAGTAAACTTTACCAATACTAAAATTATCTTCATCATAGTTAGAAGGCTGAATTCTGAATAACTTCTACACAGAGCAGAGGTTGCCTAGGTTGGGATGGCCACTGCTTTTCTAGTCAAGAAATGAAGGAAAGGGAACTAATGTTTAACATTATGTGAATATGATGAATTCCAGAAAAGGATCTTCAGTTAACTGCAAGAAGCAACTCACTGAGTCTAATCAATATAACTTATAAAGAACCATCGCCATAAGACTGAGTTTAAAATGTAAATGGGATAGCTTCAGGGCTTGAGGAATTTTCAATAGTTTTTTTTAATGTTTAGTATCTCCCTTTAAAATCAGCTTCATTTCCTGAATAAAAATTAGGCTAAGTCCTAGAAATAAAAATATTGTTATATTCATACAATCATGGAATTAAAAATACCCAAAGAAAGCACAATTACATTCAAAATATGTAAAACTTTTACACGTACACAACAGAGTATCTCTAATTGTGACAAAAAGTGAATCAGTTGCTCAAAATGGTACATATAAAATGTTTGAACAGTGGCTATACTTGTTCTTAAGTACAGGTAATAATACCCTCAAATATAAGGTCATGTTTTTCCCACAGTTATATGAATAAAGATTTCTATAAACAATACTATGAAAGTCCATCTGATATGTTTAAATTTCTTATACCAAGAGTAAAATTAAACAATTTGCAAACCATATCCAAATTTTGAAACTTTAATTACAATGCAATGAAATCAATCCATCCTTTAAAGAAGTTGAGATTGATAGACACTAACATATTCTAAGTAGGGAGCATGTGACTTTACTGCATATGTCAGGATAGAGGACATGAGCACAAAGCAAAGACCCTTCTCCAATGGCAGCACAGTCATCAACGGTGCCACGTAGCACCATGGGAATCAATTCCCGCTGTAACAACTGCAGCAGGTACTGAGGTTCCACTGCATACAGAAGTCTGTTTATTATCTATCCTTTCCTAAGGAGAATTCCTATCATCCCTTAGTTAGCATAGAAAGATAAGGCACCAATCAGTCTGTTGACCTAACAATTATCTAATATTTGAGAAGAAAACACTAATTTTCTGATTTTCATCAAGTGTTGACCTGGCACAAAATGGAACATGAGAAATATGTACTAGAAACATAACAAATTTCCTCTAGATACACAGAGGGAAATGGAACTGGGGCAGTATTAAAGAATACATTGTTGTTGTTATGTGCTGTGGAATCAGTTCCAACTCATAGTGACCCTTTACAGGGTTTCTGAGGCTGTAAATCTTTATGGGAGCAGAACGCCCCAACTTTCTCCCGCAGAGCAGCTGGTAGTTTCGAACTGCTGACCTTGCGGTTCGCAGCCCGATTCGTAACCACTACGCTACCAGAGCTCCTTAAAGAATACATTAGTTACACATTTCTTTCTTGGATAGAAAAGAAAACTAGAAGCAATTATGACAAAATGTTCATTTAAAGGTACACCTCATTTTTAATTGCTCTATTTTTTTTTAACAAACTGAAGGCTTGTGGCAACCCTATGTCAAGGCAACCCTCCGTAAAGGCAACTCTACGTCAAGGCAACCTTACATCAAGCAAATCTATTGAAGCTATTTCTCCAACAGCATGTGCTAACTTCGTGTCTCTACGTCACATATTGATAATTCTCTCAGTATTCCAAACTTTCAGGATGCTACTGCATCCTCAACAGAGCAGAGTATAACATAAACATAACTTTTTGGGAAACCAAAAAATTCATGTGACTCATTTTATTACGATATTCACTTTACTGTGGTAGTATGCAACTGAACCCATAATATCTCCAAACTATGCCTGTATAATACATCCATATGGTGTGGTTTGTTTTATAATTCTTAGTATTTTGCTTTAACTTAAATTTCTTTTAAAAAGCAAAAAATAAAAATAAACTTGCTCCCAATACCTGAGACCGCAAACTAGTTAATGTATCAGCTCAACTGACTGGCCTGTCTTTGTCAAACACGCCCTTGAACTCTGAATACAAATAGATACCAGCATGCGGTGGAGCCTCACGTAAAGAACAGAACAGCAAATGGACTAGAGAATGGGTTCTGCAATACTTCTGGGTCCCACATCTTATTGAAATTTGTGATTTGCACAAAGCTCTATAAAACCATATATTTAATTCAACATCTTTCATTTTTAAAGAGAGACCACAAATCCCTAAGAATTTTGGAACATACTTGTCTTAGAAATTTCAGTTAGACTATAACAATCCATTTATACATCACAGGAAAATTTTCCATATTAATGATCACATTTCTACAATTTAAGAACTTACCTCCCATAATCGAAGAATATCTATAAAACTGAATTCTCTTTTAAATCTGATTAAAAGCCACCTGAAGCAAAAATAAAGATATCCAGAGTCCTGAGATTCTATAAAGAAGAAAACACATTTTTATATATATATAGCTTACTGTTAAGTTAATTATGTCTGATACAGTGACGAATTTCAAACTCAAATTTTTCCATGTATCTTAGGCTATTAAATATGCTATGTACTTAACTTGACTTTTATGAACTCAAGAAAACAATGCTAATTTACAGGCTGACTTGGTTTAAAAAAACACCAATAACAAAAAATCATACAAAGACCATTTGATCTCATACTTTTATTCCTCAGAAGAACCCCGGCAACAGCAGTAGAGTATGTCTGTCATTAAAAGAGTATCTTATGTTTTTTGTATATTACTCTACATTTTACTGGGTATCATTTTGATTTACTTACCTAAGTAACTGCAAAATCCACTATCCAACAACCGAAGTAAGGTGCTTAGTTGAATCAGCTGGGTTTTCATGCCCTGCATCTGTTCTTCAAAATTTTGATGCTTTAAAACAAATAATGGTTACAACATAAATAGTATTTTTAAACTATTTTATAGTATACAACAACATAATAATTAAATTATATAATAACTGGTATAAGAGATGTGGCTACAACCCTGATATGACATTGTAGAATAAGCACTATACTACTAACACAAAGTCAGCAGTTCAAACCCATCAGCTGTTCTTGGAAACTCTATACAGAGTTGTTATGAGTCAGAATCTTTTTGAAGGCAATAAAAACACAACAATTGATAGTTAAAACATGATGTTTAAGGACAAATGTTGGACTGGCGATGCTAAAAAATATATAATTTATTAAAAAGTTTAAGCAACATTAAAAAGGAGGAAAAAAAGAAAGAATTCTCTGTCTCAAACTAATGACCATTTTTGTCTGAATTCATTTAATTTAGAAACAGAAGAAAATCAGGAATGTTATAAACGGATATATTTACTTCTTATATAGTGTAAGAAGTCCTGTTTAGCACAGTGGGTTACACATTGGGTTGCTAACCACAAGGTCAACTGTTTGAAACCACCAGCAGCTCTGCAGGAAAAAGATGAGACTTTCTGCTACTTAAAGATTTACAGCCTTAGAATCTCTATATGAGGTTCACTAAGAGTCAGAACCAACTTGACGTCACACAGACTGGATGCAGGGAACATGCATTTAGTAGACATTTATCAAATGATTTCCACTGTTAACAGTTTCTTCAAAATACTATGTGAAATACACTTAGTGTTTGCTTTATCATATATCTCATCTTAAAGAATGAATAAACTACTTCTTAGGTTTAATGACATTAAGGGAGTCTGTGAAGTCAAAACAGTATGACAACACCAACACATTATTACATTTTGCAAAATGTTCGTTGAGTTTTCGAAAGGCGCCCACAGGGTACAATTTTCCAAGGCGCAAAGAGGAAATCCCTGAAAGCCCCAGCAGTCCCACAAGCTAATCCTTTGGTTGCTCCTTAAGACGTCTAACTCTGGGAATTAGCCCTAAAGGGAGTCTTTTACCTGGGCGGGAGCCTTGCTTCCTTGCCTTACTTAAAAAGGGACAGCAGGTCTGGCCATACAGCCAAATCATATATGCACTTTGTAAAACCTCAACATGAAAGGAAAGAGCCAATACCAACTACTATACACAAGGACGCAGTCACACTTTGAGAATTCCACTGTGCATAGAAGATACCTAACTGACCTTCAGAGATAAAAATAGTGGGTAATCTTTCTTCCACTCATTTCTCAATATCAAACTGCACACCTCCCCAGTGGTGACTAGAGGAGGGGCCTGAGCAAGTGGACACAGCCACCCACCGCTGGAGGTTTCTACTGTGCATGCACACTGACCTGTCTGCTATGGCTTTGTTTCTGGTTTTTGTCTATGCTTTTAGTTTATTTTGCTTCTGTTTTTGGTCCATTTGGTCTTACTTTTTGACTTGGGGGGTGGAGCTTTCTCTCCCTATGTTACCCAAGAAGAGAGCAATCGTGGTCATATAGCCAACCTACAAGCATACCCCATAATATCCCACCATCTGTACAGGAGCCAATACCAGCATCTAGGCATTCCACAGATACCCAACACTTGGTAAGATAGCTTGCAACTGAGTAATAAGAGATGTGAAAAGGGAAGTTATCTCCAGATCATATTCACCAGGAGACACTCAATAAGCGTAACAACACAGCAACATATATCCATTTAATCACTGAAAACACATCTAACTAATTGAAAATATCCAAGAAAAAAACAACAAAAGATCTCAGCACATGTCCAGAAACAGAAAAGAGTAACTGAGACAAATGAGCTGGAGGCAGACATAGACGTCCCAATAGAAGAAGAGCAGGCTTTGGATCTGCTAGGAAAGAATGCAGAAGAATGACAAGGAGACAAATCCAAATGCTTCACAGAGAGATGGAGGAAAATAAAGAAGTCAGGAAATTGCTACCAGATCAAACTAGATATAGCATTGGAAACAATTCAAAACCTGCAAAAAGAGGTCCAGATGATTAATGATAAAATATCAGAAATCGATAATACACTGAAAGGGCAAAGGAGTAGAACTGAAGAGATGGAAGCCAGAATCAGTGAGCTGGAAGACAAAAGAAGATGGAAGAAGTTAAGTATACAGAGTCACTGTACCAAAAAAAAAAAAGGAAGGGGGTGATCAGTGGTCAACCGCTTCAAGAGAGAGCCTATAATCAATAGCCAATGGTACTGAAGGAAGATGTCCAAAGGTGCACTAAAGGCAGTGGCAAGTAACAAGACTCCAGCAATTGATGGAATAAAAATTGAAATATTTCCAAAAACTGACGCAGTACTGCTATGCCTAGAAATCTGGAAGACAGCTACCTGGCCAGCTGATTTGAAGACACCCATATCAGTCAATATCATTAATATCACATGCAAGTAAGTTTGCTAAATATAATTCAAAAACAACTGCAACAATACATTGACAGGGAATGGCGAGAGGTTCAACCTGGATTCAGAAGAGGATGTAGAACAAGGAATATTACTGCTGACATCAGACAGATCTTGGCTGAAAGCAGAGAATACCAAAAACATGTCTACATGTGCTTTACTGACTATGCAAAGGCTTTCGACTATGTGGATGGTGACAAGCTATGAATAACATTGCAAAGAATTGATATTTCATAACATTTTATTGTGCTTTTGGGGAAAATGTACATAGACCAAGAGGTAGTCATCTGAATAAAACAAGGAGACACTAAATGGTGCAAAATCAGGAAGAGTGTGTGCCAGGGTTGTATTCTTTCACCATACATATTCAATCATATGCTAAACAAATAATCCAAGAAGATGGATAAAATGAAAAAGAATGTGGCATCAGGATTGGAAGAAGACTCATTAATAACGTGTGGTATGTAGATGATGCAATCGTGCTTGCTGAAAACAAAGAGAACTTAAAATACTTAGTGATGAAAACCAAACCACAGCCTTTTGAATGGGTTGCAACTCAATAAAAAGAAAACATCAGTGTTCAAAACTGGATCACTAAATAGCATCAAGATAAATGGAGAAATGATTGAATCTGTCAAAGACTTCATTTTGTTTGGATCCACTATTAAAACTCATGCAAGCAGCAGACATTAGGCAAATTTGCTGCACAAGACCTCTTTAAAGTATTCAAGAGCAAAGATGTCAGTTTGAGGACTAAAATGCACCTTACCCAGGCGATGGCAATTTCAATAGTCTTATAGCCATGTGAAAGTTGTACAATGAATAAGGATGATCACAGGAGAACTGATGCATTTGAGTTATGGAGTTGGAGAAGAATATTAAAAGCACCGTGAGCTGCCGGGAGAATAAACAGATCTGTGTTGGAAGAAGTACAGCCAGAACGCTCCTTAGAAGCCAGGATGTGAGACTTCATATCTCAAACTTGAGACATATTATCAGGATGGAACAGTCCCTGGAGAAGGATATCATGCTTGGTAAAGTGGATGAGCCAACGAAAAAGAGGAAGACCCCCAATGAGATGGACTGCCAAGTGGTAGTAGTAATAGGCTCAAGTGTAACAATGACTGTGAGGACAGCACAGGACCAGGCAATGTTTCATTCTGTTGTGCAAAGCAAAGAATTACTGTGAGTCAGAACCAACTCAAAGACATCTGACAAACAACTGAAAACTATAATTTTAAGAAACTAAATTCAGTATGTTCATGTTAATTATTTTTGGAATATCTACTATACGCATTCAGGAGAAAGATGAGGCTTTCTGCTCCTGTAAAGATTTACAGCCTTTGAAATCCAAACAAGATTGCTATGAGTCAGAAGTGACTACACAACACATCACCACCACCACCACCACTATATAGGTAGATGTCTAAACAAAGCACTGGGAAAATATTCAAGTGTTCTATAAAAATCTATTGAACAACCTCAAATCAAGCATTAGGAGAATTCTGATAAGCTACCAATGAAATAAAGACACAACCTTTTATCAAAGAATGTACTCGTTTTAGTGGAAACAGGATAAACAACAAAAACACAAAAAAGGTAGACAACAGTTTTTATGTAATAAATATCAGTTGTACAATCTTTAAACAAATGCCTCAGATTTCTGGATCACCTGAGAATAGTTAGACCTATAACAAAGCAATTAACCATAAAAGTAAAAAAGACCAACCATGATATTACCAGCCTACTACAATTGATAATCCTTTAAAATATTCTGAGAATCCTTGTCTGTCACTGTAGATTAAGCACTGGACTGCTAACCGCAGTTGGCAGTTCAAACCCACCAGCTGCTCTTACAAACCCTACGCAGGGTTGCTAAGAGTTGGAACTGATCAGATGGCACAAAACAACAACAGATATTCTGAAAATTTAGTCAATGGAAAAGAACTAAATAATTTGAATATTAACCGTAATGGAACATTTTAAAACAACAATCACAAACTTCCTTAAAAATACATTTGGAAAAGGACTAGAAGTGAGGATGAATAGAACCATGGACAGGAGACTTGATGAGAGAATAAACTAAAAAGAAAAAAATTAAAGGGGAAAGGAAAACAAGAGCAAGAAGGAAAGAACAGAAGTAAAATAAAAAAAAAAAAAGAGTACAACTCACAAATTTCACATTTCTACCCCCAAAACCCGGAGTTAAACTCATGGGTTAACATTTTAAAATTTGTTTTGATTGTAAATACAAAGTTTGTATCCCCTTGCAAGCAAGTCATTTCAACACCTGACTTCAATGTTTAGCATCAACTGCATCAGTCTTTTTTTAGGAAAAAGCATAGTTGACCTCTACACTCAGAGCTTTAGAAATCGTAAGTTTTTATCTACTGTTAGCCCTCTGCCTTTTCTTGTTTCTAGCAGATTATTGCTAAAGATTTCTCTAGTTCATTTCTGTTAATACTCATTCTCTGCACTACTGCCCTAGACCCCTGCTTCAAAGACGTATCAAAGATTATGCTATTATCTATGTCTATATATGTACATATTGGTACAAAGAGCTGATATAGTGCTCTTTGATCTAATATATATATATATTAGACATAGGTCAAGTCTAATAAGCACTGTATCTCAGAAAATAACAGTGACTTACTAAGATAATGTCAGGGTTTCAAACAGTTCAAAAACATCTGGAGAACAATCAGTTACTCTAATGACAAAACCCAAAATGTTCACAATAGGTAAGAATATTATTCAGCATGACTAAGCTTCATCTTGGAAACAGATGATATGAAAGTCCAAATACTTTATAAGAACTGGATTAATCTATTTCATCAATATTCTATAATGACTCATGGTTCTTCTGAAGAACACAGCATTTATTGATATTAAATCCAGGTTATTTCTGTATTGAAGGCACTTATTATCTACTTTTTTTTAATAAAAAGCCATGACAGTATTTCCAAGACTCTTGAAAAGCTGTTTTAAAAAAGAAAACTAGAGATGTGAAATCATTTTTTTACATTCTATCATATATGGTTAAGTATAAAAATCAACATTATATAATAATACTATACAACTGAAATTTTCAAAATCAGTTGGTTAAAGAAAGGAACTCCTCTTCTTACCATTTGGTCCATGTAAGATGCAAAGCACCAAAAGGCATCCACTTCATTTTCCATCACATACAAAAGGGGGGAAAGCAAGTCACTCATTCCTTGCACATATCCTAAGAATAAGAATGGAAAAAATAATGTCTCTGAAAACCTAAGCTTTCCATATTCTTTCATGTATATCATCAGCATTTCATTTAAAATTACACCCTTTTTTTGGTTTGGGAAACTGGTGGATACTGATATTCATCAAGGAAAGAAAATAAGGAAGACTAGCAACTAAGTAAGAAAGGTAAATTATTAAGAGTTGTTACAGATTGATAAACCAAGTAGATGTATTTGCTAATGTATATACAACTATCAAGAGTGGGTTTCAAACTAATGTACAAAAGCATATGAGAAAGAAAAGAAGTGCAGGTAGAACCCAAAGGAATATCAAATACAAAGGAAGGTACAAACTCAAAGATTTGAGAAGGAATAGTAAGAGAGATTAGGAGAAAGCGTTTGCTGAAAAAAAGGGGGAATAAAGTTACAAGAAGGCCAGAGTGGTCAATAGTGTCAAACTGCCATGAAAACAACAAGTAAATGCAGAACTGAACAGGGTCCAATTGCTTCTGCAACCAGACTCTTGTAACCTAAACAAACAAAATTATGTACACCTTTTAATAGTAATAACGATGATCTTTTCCTTCTTTTCTTGCTACTTTATATCCAACCAATGCTAGCAACAGGGCTTAATCCAATCACTATTTTTTTTTATCTTTAACTACTTTTCTCTTGATGTTGCTACATATCTTAATTGTGACACTAATTAAATCACTAGATTAAAAAAGGTATGTTAACAAATTAGGCCCCACATTTCAAAACAACTAAAAGTCTTAACCTTCATTTACACTGGTATGTGCCAAGTTTCTTGTTTTTAATTGCATCTTACAAGATCCCAAATTGTCTTGATTGACTTACAAACAGATGTTTTTTTTTCAAAATTAAGGTACAGATTCTTGAACTACCCAATGGATTTGATGTTTTCACTTAAACATTATTCACCTAATGCTTTCACTTAAACATTATTGTCAACTTTGGTAACTTTAGTACATTTGTTAAAATTACTGAAGTCATTTAAAGAGTATATGTTTAAAAATGGAGTGAGGATATTTCTCCTAGAAATGATAACACAATTTTACATCATTCTTCTTATTTTGGAAGAAACTTAAAGAATGGCCTAAGGAAACATTTAAATCATAATCTCTTGAGAAAACTCAAATTAAACCAAAAACAGCATTCAAATATCCTCAGCATTTCTTTACATATAAAGGTTTAGCACAATTTTCTATGAGCCTCTGCCCTACCTCTACTGCTGTATCTTTCCACATAGTCCATACCAAACTATGTCTACACCACATCCTTGGAAAAGTGTGGTTCTACTCACATTAGTGTAAGACACTTGAGTCCCATGAAAGACATCCAATTATTATAGTAATAAGAAAATGGCATTGCTAAGACATTTAAAGAAAACAGCTGAACAAAAAACAGCACTGTGATATATCTAAATCCAAGCAGTTATACAAAATTATGCAGATGCTTTTAAAAATAATTCAGACTTTTAAGAAAAGAGTAAGTAGGTTGGATGGAAGACTAAATTGTTTTCAGAATTTTCCTACATGGCACTGACACAGTGAAATCAATGACAAATATAAAGACTAAGCCAATTTAAGCATGAAGGAAATCTGATCTGAATTTAACAAAGTATAAAAGAGAACCAATTTCCTGGGACTTGCTCCATATATTCTATGATAGAAACATTCCAGGGTATGCTAGTCAAAGATTTACAAAACACTTTTACTCAGTTAAAAAAACAAAAGTGCTTTAGTATAAAGTTAACATGAATACAAATTTCTTACAAAAGTGCTTTAGTATAAAGTTAACATGAATACAAATTTCTTAGACACTAACTTAATCCTTTAAGTCTTCAGCTTTCATATGTGACCTCTATCATATTTCTTTTGTAAGTTTTGGTGAAGGAACTAGTCAAATTAATCTTCATACTTCGGTTGTTTTTAATCTATTCTATTTTATACAAGATGCTCTGTGCTGTTATGTCATGGGTTGTGGGGGTGGAATTAATATACAAATTCTTTTAATTAAAGAAAGATTAAAGCTGTCTTAATTAGCATTCAGTGACACTCAGATTCTGCACTAGTGCTGACTGATGCACATTTTAATCAGCAATAGTATTTCTGAAGTAGTTTCAAAAAGTATTTTCATAGCAAATTTGTTTCAATGGGGAGGTGTGAGAAATGAACAGACTTATCACCATCCTTATGTATGCTTTCTTACATTGAAGAGAAAAACATGATGCCATATTTACTTACGTCAATTTTTCAGGTAATTTTAGCGTATCTCTGAATACGAATTTTGAAAAGAAACAAGTCTCTAGAGTTGGAAATCATTTTGAAAAACATAGGCATTCTCCTGCCGTCTTGTATACGGTATTTAGAATATCATTTAACCTTTTACTGATTATCTAGGATCATTAGGATGAACATATACAGCAAAAAGTACATGTCCCATAGAAACTTCTTCAGGTCTAGTTTGTACTAACTGGAGTTCAATAATATAAATGGTTGGTGTGGTTGGCTGCTAAGCCCAGATTAGAGATTTGAGTCTACTCAGAGAAGACTCAGAAGACAAGTTAGGTGATCTACTTCCAAATAAAACGAACCACTGAAGCCCTATGAAGCATAGTTCTACTCTGACACACATGAGGTCACCATGAAATAGAAATAACTTGATGGCAATTGGTTATTAGCTAACTAATAAAAACTACTCTTTGTAAATCTCTTCTGCTTTTGATACTTTTTGTCTCCTTTCTCCCTATTTGAAATTGTTTTCAATATAAAAGCACCTACATCTCACTTGGGGTACTGGTATGGCACTGTGAGTTAATGCAGCAGACTGCAAAGCCGGTTTGAACTGCAAGGTTGGTGGTTTAAGCTCACCAGCTGCTCCTTAGAAACCCTATACAGGGTCACTATGGGTCAGAAATGCTTGACGACACTTAACAACAACGTCTCACTTAAAGAATAAGGAATCATATATAAAAACAGAGTAAAATTATAGTCCACAGAGTTCTGCTATGATAAAGAGTAAGAAATTTGGTCCACTGCTTTCCAAAAATATTATCTTGACTTCTAAAAGGCCAAGTTTTCTCTTTTTTTTTTTAAACCTTCCTATGTTTCAGATAACTCTTGAATAAGCAAACTTTAGAGAAAGCCTGGGGTTAGTATGGACAGTCAAAGAAGGGAAGCTATGCAGTCAGCCAGGTTGAAGCTAACCCTTTAAAAACTAAGCATCAAGGAAGCCCTACTACAAAATACATATAAATTCCTATCTCAAAATTAGCATCTGAGAAAACAAGACAATGTCTCCTGTATCTTAGAATTCTGGTCCTATGCCCTATAGTGCCAAGAGAAACTGAAACGGCAATGGGGTATGACGTTTGAAGAGGTAAGGATGACAATCTAGAATAAAGACCTAGATCTAAAAAAAGTACAATTATTTACTACATATGTGACCGTGAGTCACTCTCGGAATCAATATAATCTTATTCACACATTGGGGAGGATTTCCTTATCCTCCTCTTAAGGCTCCTATTGTTAAGAACTAAAATAAAATCAATTAAGACAGTACTCTGTAACTTTAAAAGCACTCTATCAAAATGCTTTCAATGATTCCATTTGAGCCACACCCTTCCTGGTGTTGTGCTGTAGGATAAGAATAGAACTGCTAACCACAAGGCAATTCAAACCCAACAGCTGCTCCTCAGAAACTCTATATGGGGTCATTATGAGTCAGAACTAACTTGCTACTTAAAAACAACACAGGTGAGGTGGCACTGTAGGATAAGCACTGAATGGCCAACTACAAGGTCAGCTGTTCAAACCCACCAGCTTTAGTGAGGGTCACTATAAATCACACTACCACTCATTTGTCAGTTTGTCTTACTGTAATGGCTTATGTGTTACCGTGATCCTGGAAACCATGCCAAGGTATTTAAAATATCAGCAGGGACACCCAAAGTGGACAAGATTCAGCTGAACTTCCAGAAGAAGACAGACTAAGAAGTAGAGACAATATTTAGTCACTGAAAATATTATGAATAGCAGTGGAACACTGTCAGCACCCAAACTGTGAATATTGAAACATGATGAAGAGCACCAGAATACTGTCAGGAATAGTGCCGGAAGAGGAGCACCTCAGGTAGGAAGGCACTCAAAATACAACTGAGAAAAAGCTGCCTCCTCAGATATGACCAGGATGACATGAATGGAGTAACGCTTTTATTTGCTGATGGGCCACAACTCAAAATAAAGAGAAACAGCAATAAACATCCACTAGTAATTAGAACATGGAATGTACAAAGTATGAATCAAAGAAAACTGGAAATTGTTGAAAACTAAATGGAACACATAAATATTGATATCCTAGACATTAGTGAGCTAAAATGGACTGGTATTGGCCATTTTAAATCTGATAATCAGTAAAACAAACAGTGGTTTATTATGTCTGGAATGACACATTGAAGAGGATTTGATCATATCCATCATCAAAAAGAACACATCATGATCTGTCTAGAAGTATAATGCTATCTGTGATAGGATAAAATCCATGCGCCTACAAGGTAGGCCAATTAATACTACTAATATTCAAATTTATGCATCAACCACTAAAGCCAGTGGCAATGAAACTGAAGAATTCTACCAAGTTCGTCAGTCTGAAATTGATCAAACATTCAATCAAGAGGGATTGATAATTGCTGGAGACTAGAATGCAAAGGTTGAAAATGAAGAAGGATCAGTAGCTGGAAAATACAGTCTTGGTGATATACAGAAACAATGTTGGAGATGGCATGATAAAGAATTTTGTAGACAAATGACTTCTTCACTGCATACCTTTTTTAAACAACATAAAAGATGTCTATACACATGGACCTCACCCAGATGGAATACACAGAAACCAACTAGACTACATCTGAGGAAAGAGACAGTGAAAACTCCGTATCATCAGCCAAAATAAGGCTAGGGGCAAGCTGTGCAACAGACCATCAACTGCTCAT